CTGGAGGGGGGGGGCGGGGGGCGCAAGCCGGGCGCTGCGGCCGCAGCTGGGCAGCAGCTACCCCCTCTTCCCGCTCCCCTCACCTCCTGGTCGGCCTCTGGTGGTGCTGGATGACTATGGCTGTACCTGCAGGGCGCGCGGTGGTTGTCAGGGCGCGGTGAGGGTGCAGGCGTGGGGGTGAGAGTAGACACTACAGGGAGGGGGCTCGTTTGCCACTGCCGGGCCACCCAAAATGCCCGAATTACCTGCTAACACTTGTTGCGCATCGCCCAGGCGCCTTCCGTTCGCTTGCAGCACCGCCACCGCCACGAGCAGCAGGGCCAGGCGGCTGCTGGCCCAGGTGCAGCAGCGAGGCATTGCGAGGGGTGCTGGAGGTGGGCTGCAATCCCGCAGAAAGCCGAAGGAAGGATTGCCCCTGGCAAGGGCTTCTGCCGGAAGACTTTGTCGGACGTGGGCTCCGGATGAGCCAGCTCATGAGGGGTCAGATGGTGCTGGATTGTGGCCACACATGTCGCGCCAATGCACCACCTCTGCTTCGCACTAACCGCTCCAATAGCATGCTGGGATGTCTCTGAAGGGAATTCACGCCGCCCCAGATTGGCTGCCATCCACGAGGCGCGGCGGCGGCCGCTCAGTGGGCACATCAAGTCCGCCACCCTCTCGCCCCCCCGGCATACTGGCACAGTGGGCACAGAACCACAGTGCAGGTGGCACATGCAGGGAGGATGCCAGAGGGTACAATTGGTCAACCACGGGAAAAAACATGACCAAAGCGTGTGGCACCGACGGCTGCGACGCTGTGCCATGAGCATGTGTGCCGGCCTTGACGCAATCAGCACCTGTGCGGCGGCGAGAAGACAGAGCGAGCTAGCAGCTCCCGATGCCGCACTGGCCGTCCGACCGCCGCTACTTGCCGGGCTCGCACCACACCTGCCGCGCCGGCACGCTGACCAGGAAGGCGGGCAGGCCGGTGCACAGCTGGAAGCGCCGCGCGTCGGGCGGCGGCCGCGCCGCCTCCACCGCAGGCGCCCCACTGGCGTCCAGCGGTGGCAGGATGGCGGCGCACAGGGTGTTGCCGTACACGCAGCCGCCGTCCAGCCCCGTGGCGCACCGCTCCAGCTGCACCAGGCTGCAGGGCAGGGTGGTGGTGGTCCGGGGTGGGAGACAGGCCCGGGGCACAGGACGAGTCAGGGGCAGCCGAGGCCAAGCAAGATGGCAGGGAAGGGTGGAAGGTCCAGGGCCAGGGCGGCAGCCCAGCCGCCCATCCTGGCCAGAGCGTCCTGGGTGTTGAGCAGCCGCGTGGATCCTTGCAGCGACGGATGTAAAGCAGGAGGCAGGCAGGGCTTGCTCACCGGCGGGCGTCGTGGCCAAAGAAGACGTGGGGAGGGCCCTCCCAGGCCGAGGCCCAGGCCAGGCCACCAGGCACCTTGTCCGCCGCCGCAATCCAGTGTTGCTGCGCCGCCGGCGCCTCCCGCGGCGCCTGCGGCTGCTGCTGCGGCGGGGGCCACTGCGGGCGGCGCAGCGCCTGCTGCTGCTGCTGGGTTGAGGCGGCGGCCGGCACGCCGCTGGCCGCGGCCGCGGCCTGCACGCTGTCGGGAGCGCCGCCGCCGTTGCTGCTGCTGCTGCTGCGCCCCTGCCGCTGCTCCTCCTCGCTCATCCCCAGCTGAGCGTAAGCCAGCAGTGCAGCATGCCAGCTGGTCTGCCCAGCCGGCGCCCCGCTGCTGCTCCTGCTGGGGCCGCCGCTGCTGGCCCCCGTTCTGCTTGGCGCCGCGCTGCCGCTGCTGCCGCCGTCTCCACCGCCCGTGCCGCCGCTGCTAGCGTCGTCGCTGGTGGCCAGGCTGCCAGCCGCAGCCGCCTGGCAGACGCCCCGCGGGCTGCCGCCGCCCTCCTCGCCTTTGCCTGCCACCCCGCGATCCACCTCCCCCGCCTCCTCCTCCCCCTCCGCCTCCACCTCCTCTCCGCTGCTCAGGGCCAGGCTGCCCAAGGCGCCGCCGTCTGGGCCCGGCGCCTCCGCCGCCGCTCCGCTGGCTGGCTTCACGTTGCGCATGTGCAGCAGGTCCATCATGCGCTGCTCGCCCACAGGTATGTTGGGCACAAGGCCGGCATGCACCACCAAGGCGTCATACGCGGGCAGGCGCAGCGTGAAGGGCAGCTGCTCCAGCACCGTCGCCAGGCTGGCATCCAGGTCGCGGGCCCAGGCGTACCGCTGCCGCACCGCCGGGCCGTCGCCGGAGCTGCGGCAGCGCGGGGCCGCGGCGGCGGCGGGCCGGGTGAGCGGGGTTGGCCCCCTCTTGTGTGTGCAGCCCGGCCTGCCTGCCTTGCGCTGCTGAGGCTGGGCAGCGGCGGGGCTGGCCGCAGCCAGCGGGGACGCTTGCAGCAGCACCAGACCCCCCCAGCCCAAAGGGGGGGGGGTATGCAGCCCAGGGGCATGCAGCCCAGGGGCAGCCAGCAGGTGCACCTGAGGCGTGTGTAGGCGGCCAGGGAGGAGTCGTCATGGTTGCCCCGCACAGCAAACACCAGCGGCCCGCCGTCACGCACAAACCGCAGCACCTGCGGGCGCAGGGAGAACAGCAGGCACGTGTGTGTGGCGGCGGCGGTGGGTATGAGGGTAGCCGGTGGGCGGCTGGAGGTGGAGAGGCCGTGGCTGGCCGGTCAAGAGGCCGGATCGCTGGCACAGGGCAGCCTGCGCGCCCGCAACAGCGATGCAGCCCGCCAGAGCGGCCAGGCCCCACCCCGCCCCAACCCTGGGCCAGCAATGTCCCGCCCCGTACCGCCGTACCTCTGCCGAGCGAGGCCCCTTGTTGACGAGGTCCCCCACCAGCACCAGCACGTCCTCGCCGGGGGCGTAGCTGCACTTATCCAGCAGATCTAGCAGCTCCTCGTAGCACCCTGCAGCAGCACAGCAGGCAGGCACAGCGTGCAGAGGAGGGGAGGCGCGGGGGTGAGGCGAGGGAGGAGAGGAACGCGCCCAGCACGCAGGGCCACAAGGCTGGAAGAGGGAGGCGTGTGCTGCGCCCTGGGCAGCTCCCCCACCGTGGATGTCGCCCACCACCAGCACGCGGCGGCCCAGCGTGGCTGCCTCGGGAAGGTAGGCGTGCAGCTGCAGGGGCAGCGGGTTGCCTGCGCCGGCAGCGAGGCGGGCGGCGAGGCGTGGGCGGCGGCGGGCGGCGGCGGGAGGCGTGCCCCAGTGCGGCGAAAGGCGGCGGCGGCCCACGGTGATCATGCAGCCTCCTGCCGCACGAGCTGGCACGCTGGGGCTGCGTTAGAGCCTGGGCGCCGCTCACCCATGGGCGTCAGTGCCGCCGCGGGGGGCCTGAAGCAGCGCCTCGCTATCAAGTATAATGCGAGCAGCATGCTGCCATTTTGGGTGCAGCCTGCACCACCAAAGCCTCTGCGAAGGGGATGCGAGGCCAAGCGGCGGAGCACAGGCGCAGCTGCAGGCGCCAGCTTTAGCCGGGAGGCGATCATGGCATCGTCATCAGCGCGATTGCTGGCGGCAGCCAGCTGCAAGCAATGTTTTGACTGCCGTGGGCGTGGTGGCCACCCCAGCGCGGCCAGCAGCGGCGCCCGACTGCCGTCTGAAGTCAGTAGTAGACAGGTGAGTGGGTTACATGGGGTGGAAACAAGAATGGAGCCATCAAAAAAGTCGGAGGGGGTGGTACAAATCACAATCGGCAGTAGAGGTGGGTTTGTCGCGGAGGCGGGTCTGCTAGCCTAGCAGGTCCCCCCGGCTCCTGCGTTGCCTGCATGCTCATGCATTGCCCTGCAGGGGGTAGCACAACGGATGGCGAGCATCAGCAGCCGCATGCCTGCCGTGTGTGGCTGGCTGGGCGGCATGGCATGCATGGCAGACCCCTGCGCCTCCGGCCAGCGCCACGCCACCCACCGCTTTCAGCCACGCGTCCCGCTCCTGCTGCAGCTTGCTGGGCGGCGTGGGCTTGAGCGCCTGCTCCAGTCCCGCCGCCTCCTTGGCGGCCGCTGCGGCCTTTGCAGCCCGCGCCTTGGCCAAGAGCTCCTTGGCTTTCAGAGCCTTCTCCGCGGCAGCGGCGGCAGTGCGCTCCAGCTGCAGCTGCGACTTGCGGCCCACGCCGGCATCCGCCGCCCCCGCAGCCCCCGCCGCCTTGGCCGCCACCTGCTCCTGCTCCAGCTTGCTGAGCCGCTTGGTGCCAAAGGACTACAGGGTGCAAGGAATCACACACACACACACGCAAAAACATACTCTCAGGGCCGGCGCTAGGTGCTGCGCTGGGGACCGGCCTGGGTGCCGATCAAAAGGCAAACCACGGCAGCACCTGCACAGCAGCAGCAGCAGCGCAAGCCGTCCAGCCACCCCGCCCAGCTGCCACGCACCTCCTCCAGGGTGGGCCCCTCGTAGGCCTGGCTGGTGCGGCGGGAGGTGGCATCTGCCTCCACGCTCACCGCCGCCGCCGCCGCCGCGGAGGCCTCCTTCATCAGCTCCAGCCGGTTCCTGTGCACCACCAGGCTGTCCTCAAGGCTGAGCTCCGCCTGCGCCGAGGTGGGGCGGGAGCCGCTGGCGCTGACGCGGGGCGCCGCCGCCGCCAGCGCCGCGTCCCGCTCCCGCTCCAGCCGGCTCTTATGCACCAGAAGGTCGTCCCCAAAGGTGCCCTCTGCCGACGCGGGCCGCGAGGTGCGAGTGGTCCGCGGCGCCGCCGCCGCAACAGCCGCGTCTCGCTCCTTCTCCAGCACGCTCTTGTGCACCACCAGGCTGTCCTCAAGGCTGAGCTCCGCCTGCGCTGAGGTGGGGCGGGAGCCGCGGGCCGACACGCGGGGCGCTGCTGCCGCTAGGGCGGCGTCACGGGCCAACTCCAGCTGGCTCTTGTGCACCACCAGTGTGTCCTCCAGGCTGGCCTCTGCATGCGCCGAGGTGGGGCGAGATCCCGTCGCGCTGATGCGCGGCGCCGCCGCCGCCAGCGCCGCGTCCCGAGCCAGCTCCAGCCGGCTCTTGCGCACCAGCAGCCCTTCTTCCAGCCCCGGCCCGCTGACCACCGGGGACGGGATCGTGGACTTGGCGCTGACGCGGGGCGCCGCCGCCGCCAGCGCCGCGTCGCGCTCCCGCTCCAGCCGGCTCTTGCGCATCTGCAGGTCGCCCAGGCTGAGGCCGCGGAAGGCGCCCGCCGCGGTGACGTAGCCCGCGTCGCCGCCCTGGCTGGCCGCCGCCGCCTCGGCTGCCGCCGCCTCCGCCTCCGCCTCCGCCAGCGCAGCCTCCAGCTCCTCCAAGCTCATGCCGGCAAACGGATCCTCCTCCTCCTCCTCAGCCTCAGCCTCCTCATACACCTCCTCCTCAGCCTCCGCCGCCCCCTCTGGCGAAGCCGCATCCACAAACCCATCCTCCGCCTGCTGCTGCTCGGCGGCCGCCACAGCGGCCACAGGCGTGGCGCCGCCGCGTGCGTCGTCCACCAGCCCCGCCGCCTTCTTGGCCTCCCACTCCTCCTGCTCCGCCTCCAGGCGGCTCTTGGAGGGGAGGATTACCGCGTCCAGCGACTCGCCGCCCCACGCCTCCGCCTGCTGCTCAATCAGCACTGCGGGCGGCAGGGCAGCAGCCGGCGGCAGGGTGGTCTGGATGCATCCAGAGCAATGTTGAGGAACAGGCTGGTGGCAGGGAAGCTGCATGCTGCACACACGACAACCAGCCTGCTGCACATACACTCCACCACCAACTGCTGGCAGAGCGCTGGATGCGCGGCAGAACATGACTCGTTCAGCCTGCAGCCTGCGCCCAGGCTGCGGGGCCACGCACCCTGGGAGGAGGCGGGCGGCATGGGGGAGCGGTCGGGCGAGCGCGCCGCCGCCGCGTCGCGCAGCCGCTGCTGCTTCTCCTTGTGCTTAGCCAGCATCTCAGACAGCGCCTCGGGGGTGGGGCCTGGCGAGGCGCCCAGCCGCGCCTCGTCCTGCAGCAGTACAGCAGCAGTGCAGCGGCAGAGAGGCAGCAGGCATGAGGTACCGCAGACATCGCCCATGCCGACGATGCTGGCTCTTTGCTGCTGTCTCAGCAATACAGCAGCGGTGAGGCAACACCACGGTTGCTGGTGCCAAGCACAGTTTGTTCCGGTATCCCATCAGGCAACGGCGCAGGGCGCCAAGGAAAGGAGCGCGCCTGGCTGCTGCTGCCCTTCTTGGGCGACTTGGCGGGCGAGGCGGAGCCGGAGCGGTGGCTGGTGGCGCCGCGATCCGGGGCGCTTTGCTCGTTGCGCCTGCGGCAGGGGCAGGGGAGCAGAGGGGCCAGCGGACTGCTCAGCACGCGTGCTGGGCTGGGCAGTCTGACGCTGCGGCTTGGCAGGCATCCAGGCAAGGTGCGGCAGCAAGCCTGGCCTTGGCACAAGTGTGCCTCATTCACGCGCAAGCTCTTCCCATGCCCTGACGATGACTCGGCCGCACCTGAAATCCTGGAAGCCGCCGAGCTCCCGCTCCAGCCTCGTAGGCGTGGGCTTGGGGTCGAAAGGGATGCCACCCCAGGCCTCTGCCTGCAGGCGTGAGACAGGGCGCAGGGCACACACAGCGTCAGGCTCGGCAGGGCAGGGCAGGGCAGGGCAGGCGCTACTGCGCTAGGGGCGCCTGGCAGCAGCGGCGGCGGCTGCACGGCCAGGCGCCAGCAGTGGCAGCAGGAGTGGTGGCAGCCGCAGCATGCCACAGCCCGGCAGCGGCGCCACCCACCTCGAGCTCTTTGATCTTGCGCTGCACCGGGCTCACGCTCTTGCTGCGCGGATAGAAGCCTTCCGGAGCCTCGCCCGCCGTTTCGCCGTCGGCGCTGACCGCCAGGCGCTCGAAAAGCTCCGGGGAGGGCTCCTGGGACTGCGGGGCAGGCGTGCCGCACGAGCAGGGAGGCACCGAGGATGGGAGACAGCCAGCAAGAAGCACCCGACACCTTCTTGTGGCCCGAACATCCATCCTCGAGCTGAACAACAGCAGACGGAGCGGCAGACCAGCAGCGGCCAACCTTGGCCACGCACCGGCAGGAAGTTGGCTTTGCTGGGGGAGGTGGTGGAGCACGGCGGCTCCTCCAGGCCCGCCGAAGCGGTGGAGCTGGCGGCGCCGCTGTCTGCCCCGCCCTCGGCGTCGGCCGCCTCTGGGATGGACAGGCGGCTGAGCTGGCGCGACACCGTGTTCACCACGTCCTCCTCGTCCTCCTCTGCCTCTTCAGCCAGCGCAGCCACGTCCACCAGTGGCTCCTCGGGCGAGGCTGGCAGGGCTTGCGCGGTTCCCGCCGCCTCGGCAGCAGCGCCGCCGCCGGGAGCTGCGGGCTCGCCGGGCGACTGATCGGGCGACATGTACTCCTCCTCCGCCTCTACAGCCGCCCTGTCGGGGCTGGCGTCCATTCCTGGCGTGCCGCGGGGGGCCTGCAGCAGGGAGGCTACGCGTATCAGGCCAACTGCAGGTGCACTCCTGCGAGTCGGGTCTGCTGCCTGTCGCAATGCCTCCTGCGGCTGCTGCAGCTGCGCACCTGCTGCAGTTGGCCCGAGTTGTTGCGTGGGGTCTTCTCCACCGCTGCACGGCAGTGAAGTCCAAATTTCTGGCGATCAGCGCCAGGGGCTCGCAAGCGCCACGAAAGAAGGCGTCCCGCCAAGATGTACCGCCTCCGCTGCCATCTCCTCATCCCGGGCCGCCCTGTCGGAATTGACGCTTGTGGTCGCATTATCTGGGCCCTGGCATCGTTCCGCAGCACGAATAAATAGCGCATTCCGCCCCAATGCGCAGTTCCGTGGCGGCCTGCACCACAGCTCAGCCCGGGAGGGCGTGTCTGCAGCGCGGAGGGGCCAGACCACGGCCGCGACTGCCGGCAGCGCCGGCAGCGTCCGGCCAGCTGCAGCCAGCAAGGCAGCGGCGGCGGCAGCGGGCGGCGGCGGCACCAGTGGTGGCGGCGGCTGCCGTCGAGGCCCCCGCGAGCAGCAAGGCCCCCATCGACATAGAGTACGATGCCGTCATCATCGGCAGCGGCATGGGGGGGCTGTCTACGGCGGCGCAGATGGCGGCCAAGGGCGCAAAGGTGGTGGTGCTGGAGAAGTGAGTCGGCCGCGACGGAAGAGATGGCTTGCCGCCGCTCTTTGCTCTACGGCGCCGCGGTTGTGGCCGACGCGTGGGCCTCTGCGCCCGCCTGCCTGCCAGCCCCCCCACCGCCACCTCCTTTCCGCCTGTACCTGTACTTGTACCGCCCTGCGCAGGTACATCATCCCCGGCGGCTCCGCCGCCCACTTTGACCGCCAGGGCTTCACCTTTGACGTCGGCTCCTCAATGATGTTTGGGTTCGGGGACAAGGTGCGGCAGCCGGCTGGATGGGACAGCAGTATCTACGCTGGGCAGGGAGAACAATTAATCGTTTGATACATCGATGGGGATGGGGCGGGTGGGGTGCAGTTGGGAGCCGATGCATCGCCGCGCTGGTCTGGAGGCGGAGCTGCCACCGCATCCTGTCTCGCACGCAGCCAGTGCCCGGCCGAAGCCCATGATTGCACATCCATGCCCTTCCCGGTCCCTGCAGGGCACCACCAACCTGATGACGCGCGCGCTGGCGGCGGTTGGCAAGCGGCTGGAGACGGTGCCGGACCCCACACAAATCCACTACCACCTGCCGCCGGGGCCCCGACACCCGCAGGGCTGGCAGGTGGGGCGACCGGCTGCCGCCGCCGCCGGGCCAGCCCAGCGTGGCGGGTCCTGGCGCGAGGCGACTCCCCCACCCCTCCCAATGCCAGGCTGCTGGCCTCCTCTGCCCAAGTTCCAAGCTCGGCCAGCTTGCGTGGCCAGCTTGCCATCCGGCACGCCAACGTGCCACGCACCCTTGCCCTGGGCAGGTCAAGGTGTGGCGGGAATATGAGCGGTTCATCGAGGAGCTGACTTCCAAGTTTCCAGAGGAGCGGGATGGCATCCGGCAGCTGTACGATGAGTTCTGGAAGGTGGGCGGAAGCTGCCAGGCAGGGGTGCCGTGGCAGGGGTGAGGTGTGCGGCATGCCGTAAGGAGCAGGTGTGCCGTGCCGCAAGGAGCAGGCCGCAGGGCAGAGCAGTGCAGGGGCAGACGGCACGCGGCGCGGCGTGCACGCTGCCCTCCTCCCTGCCAATCAGGCAGCCCGGGCATGCGCCCCTCCCCTCCCCACTCCTCTCCCATCCTGAGCCCTGCCTCCACTCCCACTCGCCCGGCTTCCCACCCCGCGCTGCACATCGCTCCCCGCGCCCCATCCCGCACCCCCTTTCCTTTCCTCCTGCCCTTTCCTCCCCGCTCCCCAGGTCTTCAACGCCCTCAACACCCTGGAGCTTAAGTCCCTGGAGGAACCGCGGTACCTGCTGGAGCAGTTTGGGCGCCACCCGCTGGCCTGCCTCACCCTGGCCTCCTTTGTGGCCACCAACACGGGGGACGTGGCGCGGCGCTGCATCCGGGTGGGCGCCGCTGGGGCTGGGGAGCGCGCAGGAGTGGGAGCGAGGGGGTGTGGGACCGGGCTGGGTGGGGGGTGGGCTGCCGGGAGTGGGCTGGCGGGGTGCTGGTGGGGAGCAGGGAGGGCAGCGAGGTGGCGGGAGGGCAGCGGGCACTTTGCATGACGCGCGCCAGCAGCCTCGCAAGCCACCCAGCCCCCTCCCCATTACCTGCCTTGCCCAGCCCGTCCCTTCCCCCCCGCACCTTTTCAACCAGTGCCCCGCCAACCAAGCTCACGCGTTTCCTGTCTGTCTTTCTTTCCTCCTTCCTTCCTTCCTCCCCCCCCTCTCAGGACCCCGAGCTGCTGCGGTTTGTGGACCTCGAGTGCTTCCTTTGGAGCACCGTCAGCGCCGACCTCACGCCCCTCATCAACGCGGGCATGGTCTTCTGCGACCGACACTTTGGGGGCATCAACTACCCGGTGGGTTGGTGGGCGGGCGGGGAGGTGTGTGTGTGTGTGTGTGTAGGCGTGGTTGGTGGCGGGAAGGGGAGCGGAGTGGAGCAACTGTCCCTGGAAAGAGGAGCTTAAGCCGCCGCGTGCTGGGGGAGGTTACTCCGGCAGCGCCGTCGCTGCGGGGGGGGCGAGTGTTGGCTGCTCGCCTAGGGCGCGCGCCTCCAGCCGCCGCTGTGGCTGCAGCATGGTCAGAATAAATAAACCTAGTCTGTGTTCTTTGGCCGGTGCGCAGGTGGGGGGCGTGGGCAGGATCCCCGAGGCCATGGCCGACGGCATCCGGGAGCTGGGGAGCTACGTGGAGTACAAGGCCAACGTCAAGGTGGGTTTGGCGGTACCGCTGGTACTGCTGCGGTACCATAGGGTGGTACTGGCACTGTTGCACTCCAAGGGGTGCCCGGCACAGGGCCCCAGCCCGCACAGCGCAAACCTACGCGCTTTCCAAATTCCTCGCTGTGCTGGCCTGCCTCTGCACACCCACGCCGCGCTTGCTTGGCCGCAGGAGATTGTGCTGGAGGGCAGCGGCGAGGACGCGCGGGCGGTGGGCGTGCGGCTAGCAGACGGCAGGGTCTTCAGGTGGGCGGCAGGTGCCATGCAGCAGTTCTCAGACGTTGCTGGGCTACACACACAGCTCCCCCACCTAGTGGTGAAACTCGCTACATGTCAGTTGTGCCGGCAGCAGCCATACCTGCCGCACCTGCTGCCCCCGCTGCCGGGTGGCATGCGCCCTCACAGCCCCTGCCTGGCGCTGTGCCTGGCTGCCTGGAGCGGCACCACTCTCAAGCTGCCCCTGCCCGCCTGCCTGCCTGCCTCTGCCTGTGGTTGTGTGCAGGGGCAAGACGGTGGTGAGCAATGCCACGCGGTGGGACACCTTTGAGGGGATGATCGGGGAGGAGAAGCTGCCAGAGTCGGGTGAGCAGATGCTGTGCTGCCGAGGCGGGAGGGAGGGGGTGCGGGCTGGCCTTGCTCAAAGGCAGCGGAGTGTGCTGCTTGGGGGCGTGCTTGGAGGGAAGGAGGCTCTCCCTCGGCCTGGGGAGATGTGTGCAGCTCTGCAGCGCCGTCCTCATCTGTCAGCCCAGCCCCACGCACGTCTTGCAGCCTCCACACCTCTGCACTGCGTGTGCTTGTCCGCCTGCCTGCCTGCCCGGCACCTGCAGAGAAGCTGTTCCGCACGCGGTACAAGAAGGCCCCCTCCTTCCTCTCCATCCACATCGGCCTCAAGGCAGATGTGCTGCCGCCCGGCTCGGGTGGGCTGAAACAAAACCTGCTTGGCAGCTGTTGGCAGCTGTGGGCAGCAACACTGGCGGGAGGCCCATTGGCTGGAGGAAAGCCAGCGTTCCGACACCGCACCGCCAGCCTTGCCCGCCTGCCCTGCCCGCCTGGCTGCAGAGTGCCACCAGATCATTGTTGAGGACTGGGAGAAGATGGAGGTGCGTGCGGTACAGCAGCGCAGCGGTACAGCTGCGGGGCGACTGCCGCATGTCGGCCGCTGCAAGCTCCAGCGGCCTGGCTGCCACTGGCATGCCTGCCTGGCCCTTCACCCTACACCTGCCTGCCTGACGCCGCCGCCCCTGCTTTCCTCCCCGGTGCAGGACCCCTATGGCACCCTGTTTGTCTCCATCCCATCCCTGCTGGACCCCTCGCTGTGCCCCGAGGGCACCCACACCTTCCATTCCTTCACGTGAGGCCAGGGGCTGGGCGTGTGGCATGGGGCGAGGCGGCGGTGGTTTGGGCGGGGGTCGCCCCGATGTGGCAATCGTTGAGGGCTGGGGGCGGGTCCGCTCCTGTGCTGCTGTCAACTGCTGCTCCACAAGCGCATGGCTCCACAACCGCACGCAGCCGTCCCGCTGGCTCACCCACCTGGCTTGCCCGCGGCACTGCCCACCCGCCCACCCACCCTCCTGACCCCAGCGGTGTCTCGCCTGCCAAGCGCCCCTCTGCCCTCCTCCTCACTGCTCCCCTCCTCCTGCAGCCCCGACTGGATTGACAATTGGAGCGGGCTGGAGCGGGCGGACTACGAGAGGAAGAAGGAGGAGGTGCGTTCTGCCCGGCCAGACGCTATTGCCGCACTTCGCCCGTGCCTCCCAGCCTGCTGTGGCTTTCGCATGTATCCCACCGAGCGTTTGCGCTTGCGCCCTGTCTGCCCAAGCCAAGCACCTCCGTGCCCTCGCCGCTGTGCGCCCTGACCCCTGCCTGCGCCTGCGCCTGCGCCCCACAGGTGGCAGATGCCATCGTGGCCCGCCTGGAGAGGGTTTTCCCGGGGCTCACAGCGGGCACGCTGTTCAGGTGGGCGGCGCGGCGCCGGTTTGGTGGCGGTGTGGGACTGGGGCCAGGGGGCGCTGCCGGGCCCGCCGGCCGGCTGGCAGGGCTGGTGCACCTGCTGCCCAGCCTGCCTCGTCGGCGCTCTTAGCAGCTCACCGCCCCAGCCCGCCCAGCGCGCTCCGCCATCCCTCGCCACCACCGCCACCAAACACCCACACCCTGCGCCGTGTACAGCCACCCAGGGCCACACTTGCCAGCAGCCACCTGCACCTGCCTGAACCAATCCCTGTCTTCAAGACGCAACCCCTGTGCCGCAGGGAGGTGGGCACCCCGCGCACGCACCGCCGCTTCCTCAACCGCGCCGACGGCAGCTACGGCCCCATCCCGTCGCGCCGCCCGCTGGGCATGCTGTCCATGCCCTTCAACCGCACCGCGGTACGGGGGCTGTACTGCGTGGGCGACTCCACCTTCCCGGGCCAGGGCGTGAACGCAGGTGGGGGAGGTGGCGGCTGCTGCGGGGCAGTTGAGGCTGGCTGCACCAGGCAGCTATGCCCGCAGTCCTGCCGAGGGCTGGTTCCAGCAGCAGGAGGGGTAGGGTGCTCGGGTAGAGCGAGAGGCTGGGGTCTGCAGCAGGCAGCAGGCGCAGCGTGTGGCCTGCCGTCCTGGGCCCGGTGAGCGGCTGCAGCACGTCACACTCATCCACACCCCATATGATGAGGCAGGTGCATCACCTGCCCCACTCACCTGCCCGAATACCCTCACTGCCCACCCGCTTGCCCTCCCGTTGCCCCCCCTGCAGTCGTGTTCTCCGGCTTTGGCTGCGCGCACCGCGTGCTGTGCGACCTGGGCAGGCAGCCCACGCTGCCGGGGATCGACGAGGGGTACAACGCGCTGCTGGCGGCGGTGCGCGACCGCGCCTGAGGCGCCCACCGTGAATGCTGCCCTTTTTCACACCGTGCACGTGACCCCTGCCGTGCCGTGCCAATTGGCTGCCATCCGGGCTGGCAGGCGAGCTGGAGGGCTGGGGCTGGTACCAGCGGTGCACGGCATGCCCTGCTGGGGCGGCAGCAGTGAGCCAAATTGTATACGAGATTCATTCGTTTTGCACTAAATTTCTGATTGTGTGCGCACATCAGTGTCATTCCACCGCCCCATTTTCCCGTCACCCAACCACCGCCATCCACCCCCAAGGACGGACATTCGCCAGCCGTGCCAGTACTCTGTAACATCAGCTGGCAGAAGGCTGCGCTAGATGTCAGCCCACGGTAGCAGGCGCCACTTGCCTGTTGGCGGAGGTTATAAGGGATTGATCTGAGAATGACTTACAGAGGATATCTTGCTTGATACAATAGTACTGGAAACGATGCATTGAATGGGAAACAGATAGGGTGCAGGGGGCATGCTGCAAACAGGGGCGCAGAACCGCCGTCAACGTTTGCAGTCGCCGTCGAGGAGCCATTGTCAGTGACTGATCATTTTGGCTGCGCCGATCGGTGCGGGCCAGCCACGGGAAGGGGGAGGTAGTTAATTTAAAGACTACTGGCCCAGCTGCTGGCCCAGGTCCTGACTGGCCCTGCGCCAAGGTGGCGCCCGGGCGCCGTCCGGCCTGTGCATGGAACCGCCCTTCCGCAGCATCGCCATATCGCTTTGAATCACAATCAGACGTGTTTGAAGGCCAGCAGGGCTACCAGCGTGCAGCCATCTCGTGGTGCTTGTCCTGTCCTCAGCCCAGTTCTCAGCCCATTGGTTGCTCTCACATGATCCACAACCAATGCAGGACGTGCCATGAATTCTGAAGGTGGTAGAGCACCATTTGCCGCCAGTGCAAAATTGCCGCCAGTGCCGCACTCCACTGCCGCCCAGGGCAAGCCCTGGGCAGCGGCCGATCAGGCAGCCCCCAGCTCCAGAACGCAGCAGGCTGAGTCGTCAAAATATAGGTTCGGTACTCGTAACCCAATGTCCACATGGCCAACCAGTGTGGCCGCAGCAGCCTTCATCGACGGTCAACGCCGGTGCAGACGGTCAATGTCGGCCACGGGGCCGGAGCAGTAGAAGAGTCGGGCATCACGTGGGCGGGGCATGCGCATGCCAAAGAAGTCATGCAGGTGCTGACTGCACCATCTACACAAAGCTCCAGTACTGATTCGGCTGCGACGCTCTTCTCTCCCGCTGGCGTCCAGCCGGCAACCGGAGGGAGGCGCCCCAGCGCTCATGCCGCTGCCAGCAGCGCCTTGAATTCCTCATACGTCACGGTGCCTGCGGCAGCGGCGATTTGGCGCGCAAGCACTGGTGGGTGGGTGGGCAGGGAGGCGCAGTGCAGGCCGTGCAAGCCGGCCTCGACATGGTGTGAGAGCAGGTAGCGGCAGGCGGGGCTGTTGCATGCCAGGAGCGCGGCGCACCATCTGCATCCCTGTCCATCTCCTCCAGCAGACACCCCAGGTCCACCTGCACCAGCATCCCCAGCAACAGTTCTCCAGCTTCAGCAGGCCAGTCATCAGCAGCCGCCCAGGCCTAGGCACAGCAGCAGTAAATAATCCAGCACAGCAACAGCAGCTCGGCTGCAGAGCGGCAAGCAGTGTTGGCGCCCCACAGGACAAGCCAGGCCGAGATCATCGCCACACACACACCACCACCACCACCACCGCCTCACGCACACACATCAAGCCCACCTGCAGCTCGAACTCGGCCAGCGTGCGCTGCAGCCGCTGGATGTCCACCTCGCCGCTCTTGTCGGGCTGCGGCGCCGGCGAGGGGGAAGGGGCAGATGTGGGGTGGTGCAGAGGGGCACAGCATGGGGGATGGGAAAGGGTGCGGCCCTTCGTACTGGGGCTCCCAGTCCTGGGGAGAGCTGCAACTTGCAGGCCGCCCTTGCAGGAGCGGGGCCTGAGGCCTGCCTGGCCCGCCCTGCTTGACAAGGGCGTGGAAGGGCAGCCGCCCCCCCCCCCCCCCGGGGCGCGGGCCCGCCC